ACTTCTAATTAATATTATTTATAATATTACTTATAATTATATAATAATAAGTAATATTACTTATAATATTACTTAATATTATTTATAATATTACTTATAATTATATAATAATAAGTAATATTACTTATAATATTACTTAATATTATTTATAATATTACTTCTAATTAATATTATAATATTTCATATTATAATGAAAAAATCATTTTTTCTACAGCAAAAAGTATTCTTTCTTTTTTTGAATTTATTTAATCTACATTAGCTTTTTACGTTACTTTAATTTAATTTAGATCTGTGTGTAATTTCGCTAAATAATTTGGCTTCTTCCAAATAGAACAAAACTTTTTCTGTATGTTTGGCTAAAAATTCTTTAATGGTATTTTTTTGATATCTTTATACGATAATGGAATGATTATAGAAGGTGTTTAACTGTAAGCTCAATGTTATGATACAGTTCTTACAAATGCGTATTTTACTATTTCTGTACTGTAATAATTCTTCAATCATTTTGTCACCCCATCGCAAATTCGACATAAAAACTGAAGTTATCAAATGATCTATTAAGCAAGACTTTAACACTTTCACGACCGCGGCAAGGACCACAAAAATTTCATAAAATTGAAGTATTCTATTCAGTCAAATTAAAATTGCGAAGAAACCTCACATGGCATTAATTAATTCTTCAATATTCGTATCTCTTTCAAATGTTAATAATATTAAGAAATTATAATATTGATTAGCCGAAAGATTAACTGTAAGAAATTAAATTTTTAAACAATACTGTCGTCCACACATGGCTGACGCGACAATCAAGGTATTAACAAAGTTTTATTAAAACTGTGTTTCAGGAAGGAAGAAAAAATATGCCATGAATTGGGAGAAACTCCAGGTCAAAACTGATCGACGATAACAAATAAAGTAAGCGAAATGAGGGTCACGCGTTGCTATGGCAAAGGTGGGAGATTTCCCCATTCGATTATCAAGCGACTTCATTTAACCAGTTAGCTGTGACGCTGATGACGAGTATACTCGTCAAACACAGAGTAAGCGTCGCTGTGAAAATATTGGATCAAAAAAACGGTTTTATTTGATAAAATTAATAATTTTATTACTAATATTTACTTATCCACCTAACATTAACAAAGCAAGGAACGACAGATAATGGCACTTTGCACGTCGAATTGCAAATCAAAATTATTTTTATAACAACGTAAACACCTTCGTGTATAGGACCGGCCTCAAAATATTCTAAAGATCTTGAAATTTCAGAATATGTTTTTGTTTTCACTGAAATTACAATTTAAACTCAATGTAAACTTACAAGTATACTCGTCACGACACAAAATACTACCACTTCTCCATGACGAGTATACTCGTCGAACACAGAGTAAACGTCGCTGTGAAAATACTGGATCAAAAGACGGTTTTATTTGATAAAATTAACAATTTTATTACTAATATTTACTTATCCACCTAACATTAACGAAGCAAGGAACGACAGATAATGGCACTTTGCACGTCGAATTGCAAATTAAAATTATTTTTATAACAACGTAAACACCTTCGTGTATAGGACCGGCCTCAAAATATTCTAAAGATCTTGAAATTTCAGAATATGTTTTTGTTTTCACTGAAATTACAATTTAAACAGCCAATGGTCGCTACTTTTTACGCTCGACGAGTATACTCGTCGCGACACAAAATACTGCCACTTCTCTATGACGAGTATACTCGTCGAACACAGGCAACTGGTTGAAATAGGGCGATCTCCACGTTCAGTTGGCTAAGAATATTGTTATATGTTAAGAATATTCGCAGAAATCCTTAGCGTGGCCACCGACCGGAACATCCACCCCCACGGCCGAAAGAAATTTCCGACGCGTGCAGAAGGAATTGAATCGGGCAAAAACGGCGGCTACCCTCGAGGTCCGACCGCAAATTATTTGCGAACAATACCGTTGTTCCCGAGAAACAGTTCCGCGAACCGCAAGGCGCCGCTCGATGCCGGCCACTGTTTTTAATTATTTCCGCCGCGGCTGCGCTCGCCGCAATTACAATGGGTCTCGCGCGCCTCGCGCGTTCCCCTTTCCTTCGGAAGAATTAATTAATTGATCGATTCCGGGGGATTTCGGGGATCCAGCCTGTCTCCGCACGGTAACTGTAATTTCTTTGTTATTGGACCCCGATATTTGCCCGGCGCCCCGCCGGGGAAAAAGGAATTTCATCCGCTTTAATGGCTGCAATTATTTCGATCGATCCCTCCAGGAATCTCTTCGGGGAATTCTTTTTAATATGTTTGCGGTTACGTTCGTTTTCCTTCGGTTCGTGGTCGTTTTAATTCCACGCAACGTTAGTAAAAGGGATCGACGGGGTGTTTTGGTCTTCTTTTTAAATTCGAGCGACTTTTTCGTTTAAATTCGCGAGCATCCAGAGATTGTTCATAAATATTCTCGTATTATAGTTGAACATTGCGGATTGATTTTATTATGCGGTTTCGAGGGTAACAATAAAAACGATTGAATCACAAATGCAGAAACAGAGTTGTGCATTATTTTATTTTATTTCGAGGTAAGGATCTACGAATAAAATTTTATTCGACGTCATCGAATAAATATCCGATCGAGTGCAAATTTATCGAGATGACGATTTATGCGAATAAGATTTTATTCGAATAAAAGTTCATCCGAATAGGAAGTTATTTGTTATTCGAATGAGAATTTATTCGGACAGGATTGAATTCGAAAGATAATCGATTGGAACAAAAATTATAGAACGCAGTGTTTTTCTATGGTTTATTGATTGATTTCGTCCATGCTAATTTTTACAATTATCTCTTATCGCTAATGCTGCATCGATATGTTTGTTACTTTTGGTTAGATCGATGATTGATCCATAACTAAATAATTTTTCTTCGGGTGCAAAGACGGTCGTCGTACATTTCAGGATTTACAAGACATATGTAGGCTTAAAAATTGCGTAAAAAAGGAGACAATAATTATTGGCATTATTATTCCAGCAATTTTGCAATCTCTATTCAAATAATTTGTACGAATAAAAAAATGAAGAATTACTCGAATAAATGAATAAAATAAAAAATGGAGAATTATTTGAATAAATGGATAGAATAAAACATGAAGAATTATTCGAATAAATGAATAGAATAAAACATGAAGAATTATTCGAATAAATAAATAGTATAAAACATGAAGAATTATTCGAATAAATGAACAGAATAAAACATGAATAATTATTCGAATAAATGAGTAGTACAGAATATAAAGAATTATTCGAACAAACGGAGAGAATAATTTGTTACGAATAATGATTAATTCGAATAAAATATTCGACTGAAAAGAATGCATTCGAGTAATTCTGAAGTAATATGTAGTAGTGAAGTAATCCTGAACAAATATTGACTTATATATCGTAACTCTATTTCGAAACTGTATACCGAAATTACACGTCGAAACGATTCGAATAGTGCCGAACTCTGTGGAGAACAAAGGCCGATGTCTGACGAGAACAGGTAGCCAGCGGACAGTTACAGGAAACACGATCGGAAGAGGCGAATAACGGCGACATAGTAATCGAGACGCGAGTACACGGTCCCGAAGCGCCCGCATTACAAAACGGGAAGCTGTACAATCGAACACCGGTCCGCGGTGTCCTCATTAGAACGGCAATTAATTAGCAATCGACGTGCCGTGGGCCGGAGAACGCGGCCGCCGAAATTTCATTAGAAGAACAATCGGCAGCGCGGAGCCGCCGTTTTCTTCTACTTCATAATTAGCATCTGTTTGCAAGCTACTAATTGCCGGTTACTCGGCGAAGCCAAAGGGAAATTAGGAGTCCACCAATTGTTCCCCGTAAATTGCGTTTAACCGATGGCGAGCCGAGGGCAGTCGGTGAAATTCGTGTTCCCCCATCCAGAAACCCCTCGCAGCTTCCGCGTAATCGCTTTCCTTCGAGTCGAATGCGCGATTATGCTCGTCGGAGCAGCGGGCTTCAATGCAACGATTGTTATCACGGCTTTTAAACATTTTTCCGTATCGCGGAAAGCGGTACGGACCATCGCGTCGCCCCATCCTGTACACGGATGGCTCCAACAAATTCTCAAGTCCGAAGTGTAACTCTCGGTTTAATAGTTTCGGGGATAGCGCGGCGGTGGCAATTTCATCTTTTAACGCTGCCAAGTCAGCGCGCATAAAAATCTCGCAAAATCGGGAAGATGTATTTAATGGCGCCGATATTGGAAACCCGAAATTTATTGTTGAGATTATTCACGCTGCCACTTTGAGTCTCGCGGACTGCCGCGGAATTTTGCTACAGGATTACGACAATCGATAGCTTAACAATAGATTCGCGGCAATTGCCTGTCTACTTATATATGCACGTATTATTTCGTGAAATATTACTGCCTGCGCGAATGTATGTACGGACAAATATTATATTTATTTTGTTACTGTACGTTTTCGTTAGACATTAGGTATATCGTATGTACATCATGTTACACAGTCAATTCATGTACAGTAGTGTGCATGATCTCAAGGTTTAAGTAACTTTTACATTGTTACTGACACCTAAACGAAAACTTAACAAAATACCAGATTTGTATACTATTATATTGCATTTTTTGTAATTCAACAATATGTATACAAATATATTGTTTTTTTGGTAAGTCTTCTTAAATATACAGGATGTCAGTTAAAGAAGGCCATCTACAGTGCTTTGAATAATTATAAATTCAAAATGACTTTTACAGTTTTGCTGATATTTAAACAAAAACCCCAAGAGAAACTATATTCGTGTATCTCTATCTTCCATTCTATTTCTGAATTAAAAATATATACGAATACAATATTTTGTTAATTTTTTCGTTCTTAATCCATTGCACTCGAAGCCATTTTAACTGTAAATCTAAATTAATTTTTCTGACTTATGGTATTTCCATTTTATACGACAAAGTGTATTTTATGCATATGAAATCTAGTCCTGTGACTCATGCAACAATTAGACTTTTAACAAATTTTTACATCTAAACTTTTATGATATAAAAATTATCTTGTAACGTGATGTAACAATTTTAATGGTGCCTCAGAGTCACCACTTGAGTGCAAAGGATTAATATATGCAGGAAATATAGAATAATATACAAAGAAAAATAGAATATCTAGTATATACAGGGTGTCCCAAAAATGTCTCGCAATCCGGAAATGACGAGTTCCTTGGATCATTCGAAGCAGCTTCTTCCTTTACAAAAATTTTCTCCGAGGCACCGTTAACGAGTTATTAACGAAAAACAGTGACCAATAAGAATCGAGTACGGCTGACGCGAGGCGGCCCAGCCAACCAGCTCACAAAGCCCAGTTCCGCTCATTGGCTCGGTCGACTCGCGCCAGCCGAGCTCGCCTCTCATTGGTCACTGTTTTTCGTTAATAACTCGTTAACGGTGCCTCGGAGAAAATTTTTGTAAAGGAAAAAGTTGCTTCAAATGACCTGAAGAACCCGCCACTTTCGGATTGCGAGACATTTTTGGCACACCCTGTATAATGTTAGGGGTTCTCACAAGGAATATTAGAGATGATAGAAAGTAGAATTATACAGATACGATACTCCAGTCGAGTCATTGTTTAAACGTCATTAAAACTGTAATGCATTTCCGATCTTTCTTTCTATCCAATATAGGAAACGCGATTAAGATCTTGCAGTTATTACGCAGATCGTAGAATCGCGTTGCGAATGAAAATCTGACGAACGAATAATATGTCCGATTAAGTTGGCTTTCCTGCACCGAACGGAAAGTTATTAAACGAATGATCGGAAACAGGGCGCGTAAGAATATTTGGGGAAAATGAGATGCCCGCGATAATGGCGGGATCGCGGCGGGCTCTGTATTAACTCCGGAGTT